TGCTGCTGCCTTTCCTGCTCAAACAGCATAAGGTGAGATGAAAGCTACCTTTGAGTTGTTGAGTGTTGAGAATCTTTGAATGCTGTTTAAAAAAGCATTTTTAATTTACAAACACCAAAAGACACAAATATAAAGGTGTTTCAAAAATTACAAATGTATGGGTAACATTTTAATTACAATGAAAATTGTAAAATAAAAACAAATTTTGAAATGAAATCATTCCAAACTCACATGCTTTCCTTGAATAGTTTTTTAGTTTAATGTTTTTTTTAAACAAACTTTGTTTTGACAGATGTTTTCTGTAAGTAATTATATTCATATATTGTACATAGTATGTATAAACTTGAGGCAATACCACATGGCTATATTTTTATTTTAGGTTTGGAGGAAATGCAAAATGCGCATTTTCACTGTAGCCCAGATGGATGACAACAGCATCCAGATGAAGAAAGATCTGGCCACATTCCTTTACCAGCTGAGAATAGAGGCTGAGGTGGAGGTAGTGGAAATGGTGAGAATCCCTCTTATTTAAGACTTCCAAAGGGTTTTTTATGGCTAGTACCAGCTCAGTAGTAAAAATTGCAATGGAAACCAGATGTCCATTATGATATACTGAAACAAAACACGTTTACTACAAGATGCAAAAAACATGTTTGTTTCAAAGATAATTATAGTGTAAAAGAAACACTGCATACCTTGAACATAAATTAATTCATTTTATGGTCACTCTGTCCGTACTAGCATGACAGTGACATCTCAGCATACACCTATGAGCGAACATTAATGATGGAGCAGAGGTCCCAGATGCTGAGGCAAATGAGGTTGTCCAGTGCAGAAAGACAAAGAGAGGTATGTTTTTGGTTTGTCCTAGGATTGTTTTACTGATAAAAATACTGTGCGTGATAAATCACTGAAATACTGGCCCTTGCAGGCCCAGCTGGTTAAGGACAGACACTCTTTGGTACGTATGGGAAGTCTATACTCAGATGAGGAGGAGGAGGTGGTAGAGGCTCCTCCAGAGAAGGTTCAGATGACATGGACAAGAGAGAAATGTGAGGCTGAGAGGAGGAACAGGAAAAATGCGCCCGAGAACTTCAGAGAACTGATGAGCCTCAAACCGTGAGTCCCACTCACTTATCGTCAGCATCTTCTTTATCGCCTCTCATTTAACCAGTAAAACCTGTTGCTTTTAATGCTGAACCTTATTTTTCCCTTCCCTTCTTGTATGTTTCTGTTTGACAGAGTGAGAGCTTACTTTGTAATAGTCCCAAAAAGTTTCTTATTAGCACAAATACATTTTACTTTGCGCCTCTCTCCCTTTGCTGCACTACAGGGATCAGTCCAATGTGCGGCGAATGCATACAGCTGTGAAGCTGAATGAGGTAATAGTCAACAGGTCGCATGATGCTCGATTAGTGCTGCTGAACATGCCAGGGCCACCTCGAAACACAGATGGAGATGAGAACTGTATCCTTTAAATAAGATCCAATAAGATCAAAGAAAAGGGATCTTGATCATTTTTGGACTGCAGTAAACAGACAAAGTGTGTAGGCTATTGTTTGGTTGTTTTTACTTCTTTATCCTGTACATCAGATATGGAGTTTCTGGAGGTGTTGACTGAAGGCCTGGAGAGAGTGCTGCTGGTCCGAGGCGGTGGTCGGGAGGTTATCACTATCTACTCATGAACAATTATTAGCTGCTACACAAGAGCATCTGCCTCATCAGAATACATTCAACCTCTGGACACAAGGCCACACCTGCTCTGGTGCTAGCCACTTCTGGGTAGATGCATTAATTTGACACTTTCATTGTGAAGCATGGACCTTTGAGTACAAAAGGTTTATTTTATTCTTGTAGAATAAAACCTATATGTTCACGGCTCTGCCACTCTTCACAAATGAAAGCCGATATTTTTTGTGCTTGTGTGTCAAACTTTAGATAAGCATTGACAAATCCATCTTCATATGTGATTAAAAAAAAACTATGTATATTTGACAATTTTGGAGACAGAACTATCCAAAGTTGTACACGTTGTTAGAGCAGTTTAAATAGTATGGCAAATTTTTATTCTAAGAGCTCTTTGATTATTTTGTAAGCGCATTTCTATTTATTTATTTATTTTTTCAACATGCCCCCACTAAGGAAAGAATAAGTCGACTGCCAGAGATCACAAAGAAAGTGTTTTAAAGAAGAGTTATGCTTTATGATTTTTTAGACAGATATTTGTATTGTTGATAAGAGAAACAAGTTTATATGAACAACTGTTACATTTGTACTTTTTCTACAGACCTGAAAAGTGTATCTTTTTTATATGCACACAAAAAAGATGTCTTTAAGGTTACTATCATGAAATCAAACCCCATTCAAAAAAAAAAACTGTTTATGGTCCATTCCCATCCTGGATTCAAACTGCCTAACTGCGCATACCAACAACTTAAGTTTGTATGGTTGAAAGTAAACATATACACCTGTTGTTATTGTGTTTCTGACAAAGTAGTGTTTACTGTAGTTTTAAATCACAGTTGCTGTTACCATGGTAACCACAGGTATCCAAAATCAACTTTTTTTTCCTAATAAGCTGCATATGATCAGTATTTCAGGCCAGCATACAGTGTAGAGAATAACTGTTTATTTTTATTTAGACTAAATGATCTGTACACGCCAAGCATGTTTTATAAATAAGGGATAAACCAATGGCAATGTGTGCAGTTATTAAAAGCTCACAGAATACTAAGATTGCTCCTGGTCTTTCTTTCATTTTTATTTTAATAAGGACATTTTGTTTTCTTTTTTCTTAAAACAACATAGGTTGGAGAGGCTTATCCCACTTAAACCATTCCAACTTAGATCCAAATCCGAACTTTTTATTATAATAAAAAACAATAACAATACACTCTTTAAATGGAAACTTTATGTAGTTTAGTGTAGTATTTTAGTGAAGCGATTCATATATATATATATATATATATTTTAAGAGCAATGAGGTTATTATGTGAAAACTGCGGTTATTTGAAAATCATGCACATTAGTGTTAAGTTTGTCAGCCATTTTAAAATTTAGTCTTAGTCCTGTGTCAAATGTCCTTGTTAGTTTTTGTCATATTTAGTCCACTGTATACTTCTTTTTTTTGTCAAGTTTTAGTTGACTAAAAGTCTGGGTATTTTAGTCTGATTTTAGTCAAAAAAAATCAAAAGTATTTTAGTCTAGTTTTAGTCATTAACCATCATTTTAGTCTTTTCTAATCATTATTATAATTTCGATTAGCATTTTGGTCAATCTGCTCTAACCAAAATAAAAGAAATGATTTGAATGTTAGCTTTGTTCTCATTTTTACTGCAAAAGTACTCAACATACTCACTTCCCAAGTGGTTAGCCTTGATATGCGCTTCAAGGTCATAGTGTTTTTTCCAAAAATCTTATAACCACCTCCGTGTGCGAACTATACATAGCTTTCGGGGAGCTCTGTTTTTTTTTTTTCCAGTGAAGGGACAATTCTTACTGCTGAATCATTAATAGCTGCAAGCATTTAGGCCTTGGCCTGACTGTGAAGGTATCAGGCATGTTTGTCTTATAATAATAATAATTATAATAATTTTTATTATCATATGTAGCCATTTTGCTACAATTACGCTTCACACAACAGCTGCAGCTGCGACCTGACCATTCTTTTCTCCGTGAGAGGGAAGAATTTAGAAAGTTGCGTGGCACTGCAGAAAGCCCCCAGCTGCAGTAGTGCATGGATCATGCGTAATATTCATCCAACTATCAAGAAACATTCACAGCACGTCGGTTGTACTAGCAACACTACCCATACTAGAGAGGGAGTGGGGCGGACCAGGGACAGGAGATTGCGGAGCAACTGGCCCGCTGTATGCGGTCAGGTGATAGTTTCCTCTGGCTGGATGAAGTCTGATGCTCTGCATGATGATAGAGAAATGATGATAGAGAAATTTAGAGATTAATGGCAATAAAGCAAGCTGTCGATAGTTTAGAGACCCCCCCGAAATATCACAAATCATGCTTTTAGGGGAGCTGATATCCAAGCACATCTTTCTCCCTAGCATGTTGTGTTCATTACCGGAGTTCGCATCCTCCACAGTTTGGTTTTCCTCACGCACCAGCGTCGCCCCGGTCGGCCAGCATAGCACTGGCAAAAAAAAAAATACTACTGAATGAACACTGTTCAAGTGAAAATTTAGAGGAAGAAAATATGGCCTGTAATATTTTGTCATCTCATTATACTGACAAAAAGAAAGAGAGATTTTATTTTTATTTAATGAATTACATTTTATTCTCGTCATTTTTTGTCAATATAGTCACAGTCAGCGTTTAAGGACATTGTCGTCGTCTCGTTTTTGTCAGGGGAAAAAAAAGGTTGATGACGAATATAGTTTGTTTAGTTTCGTCTGACGAAAGTAACACTGATGTACATGGCACAGAAGTTGATAAAACATCAAAATGAGCTCAAAGTAAATTCCTGTCAACCTTGTTGGCAATAGTGTATTGAATATGAGTTTTAACAATGCAGATTTTCACACTGTTGTTTTGAGTAACTGCTGTTCTAAGTTTTAATTTAGTTATTTCTACAGGTAAATATTAAAGAAAAACAAAGGTAGCTCACTGTTTGGCAGAAGGGCAGTTTAGCTCACAGTAAAATACATACTATTTTTGTAAACATCCATAATATCTTATTATGCTGTAAGATAAAATAAAAATATCTCTTTATAAACTGCACTCCCTGTGGTAGAAGTATTGTTACAGCAGTTTTGCACAATTGCACCATAACTGAACTGTCTAGCTTAGCTTCTGACCGATGTCCTATATATTTTAATTTATATGTATAGCAGAACTGTCTATACATTAAATAATCCCCCAAATGGAGCTACACATTGAATGTTTTTTTGTATTGGTGGAGAGAAAGTGATTATTCTCCTCTAATCTTTACTGACCTATGGAGTGCTAGGGTGACCCACAAATGGCTACTGCTACTCACTAAGGTCTCCTTATTTATGTTAAAAATAATGCACTTTAAAAAAGGTAGCTAATATTAATTCAGCCATAAAGTAGACTGGAAAGCATCAGAACTATGGCCAGAATTAGCAGACCTTCTGGTCCATGTTGGGCTACGGAGGAGGGACTCTGCGTCGAGGACAGCAATCTTGGGTCAGGAGGCCTAAGGACCAGCCTGCAGGGGTTCTGCACCTCCTCTAGGGGGATATGGACCTCACTGGGCTGGTCCAAACTCAACTGTTCACGGACCTGGGCGAAATACAGTGAGATAAGAGAGGAAGGCCATGCTGTATATGTTCCGCATCTGTGCTGTGGTTTTAGTTGAGAACATTTTCAAACTTGCAGCGCAAAGAAAGCATTGTATATGTAATATATGTTAATTGTCATTCAATCTTCAACTTCATCCATCCATTTCTGAATTTGAAAATGCCATTTTGGACAAAGAGTTTCATAAATGGCCACACATTCTTGAATGAAATAAGGTGATTAGTGTCCATTTGTGTCAGGACAGATAATGGCTTTTGTTTTAGGAAAAAGCTCACCCTCTCCACTTCCTTGAGCACTTGCAGGAAGTTCCCTCGTAGGACACCAGCCAACTCAATCTCAGTCCAGTTTCTCTGTAGGAGTTCCTGGATTAGGGTGGGATACTTGGACACATCCTCTAACCCTTTGGGAAACCTGTTAATAAAAAACACATTTAAATTCACAAATATTTATTTTGCAAAAGAAATGACTCATTGTGACAGTTTTGGTGTTACCTAATACATTACTTATGAATACATAATGATAATAAACACTTGTAAATATAGTCCTTGAATATTATTGTTTTGTAACATTTCTGTTTGGATTAGACTGTACCTGTATGCAGGGAAGAAACTAAGTCAATGGCCATCAGTTAAAAAAAGCACAAACTTGATCTGGTTCAACAAAAACTTGTAGAACTTGTTTTCTGGAGAGAGACATCATGGTATATCTAGAAGCACTAAAGCAACCACAGTACTGTAGATTTAGTGTTGCAAACAGTACATCCATTTGTCTTTGCCTTCTCGTTATCTGTTGTTTGTGCATATGATTATTTCTTACCTCACAGCACCTTCAAAGTCCCCTCCAATTCCAATAGACTCAGCTCCAATCACCTTCTTAATGTGATCAAAATGGTCTGTAAAACCCAGGTGGAATAATGAATCAACCGAGATATAAGAAATACAAACTACAGATTTACTTCATGATTTTAGAAAAAGACTCGACATGGATGCCTCACCGGCCACACGAGAGACATTGGCTTCATCCCTGCAGGAAATGAATTTGCTGTGGAGATTCACCATGATTAATCCTCGGTTCTGTTTCTGAAACACAACACACACACACACCCACCCTCATGAGGGATCTGTGGGGGATATTCGATCTTCATCTACTGCTATAATTTATGTCCATTTCACAATATAATACAAATGTTGTTTGTTTTTTGCTGTTCTGATGCCAACTAGAGAAAGAATTTTGCAAGGAGGATTTAAAAAAGATTGAGCATTAACTCACCCAATGGAGTTTCTAATTTTATACTGAAATAAACATTAAGAATGATTTGCAGTGCAGCTGCAAGCTGAGCTTGGCTGTTTCCATTCCACAGAAAAATACTACTCCTAACCACATATGATATTATTCACAATGTAAGACAATGTGTAATTATATATTTCAACATACATTACTGGTAGCTATGTTCAGCAGAAACAGAGATGGCTTGAATTACTGGGATGGGACTAAATTTCTCATATTGACAAATGATAAAAGGAGCTAGTGGAAGAGTGAAAGAGACTGATCTTCTATTAATTAAGCAAAGTATAGTTTATATAAACAAAAGTTCTAGACTTAAGTGGGAAACAATGAAGTTAGCACTAGCTGAATAAAGTACCTAGGTTAAAAAGATATTCAGAGAAAGGTTGGGGGTTAGAAGGAAGTGACACAAGTACAGAGTACAGCAATTCTGCAGCTAATGTTGGTAGTTAGCTGACACTTAGATTCAAACAAGTGAAACAGCAGATTCTTTGATCATCAACCTTACAACAACAAAGCCTGAACCACAACATCAAGATAAAAGTGTAGTATGAAGGACTATAGAATAGTGGGGTGACCACTTTGGAGCTGACACTTAAATTCCTTTAATTCCTCTAGTGTCGGATTCTAAAAGCTTACATTATGCTGGAGGAAACCACTTTTTGGTTTATACTAGTTAGTATGTTTAGTTTCAGACGGAATCATTACTTTATGTTGAAAACCACATAATCAGCTTCATGTTTGTGCATGCGCATGTATGTGTATAGTGATACAAAAGAGGAAATTGGTGGGAAGCAAACATGGTCATGGAAATTATGGAGGATATGGAGCAACAATAAAATCAGCAAGGAGATGCAAATATACCCTTACGGTTTAGAATCAATTATAGTGACTGTTAGTGGATGAAATCTAATAACTGTTTAATAGTGGAACTTGGTTCATAGATTTTTGTTCCTGCTGATACACAACAAAGCTAACAATGAAAACATATTGCATATTCTACTAGGGCTGGGCGATATGGCCAAAAATGTTATCATTATAAAAACATTTCATATAATTCGATATCGATAATTATCACAATATATGTCAAATCATTATTTCTTAAGTTTTAAAGGCTGATTTTTGCTCTTGAGTGAAAATTGAAGAAACAAATATGATTATTAAATCTTTCAGTCCCTTTTCCTCAACAAAATAAATATTTTTATAGAAAAATTAAAGGCTAATTTGTCCGTGATTCAAATGAATTAAACCAAATATTTATAGACAATATATTGAACATTTATTATAGAGGAAAATTATATTGCGATAATTATCATTATTGTTTTATTGCCCAGCCCTATATCCTGCTAAGTCAGAGGTATACATAACAATTCTAATGAAAATAAATTAATCAGTGACTTGATTGATAATATGCAGTGAGTAAAGCAAATAAGCAAGCAATTAATCAATCAATTAGTTTTCTCACCAGCTCTTGCAGCAGCCAGTCAGGTACATTGCGGCTGTGGTTACAGATAGAGTAGGAAGATGAATGGCTAAAAATAACAGGAGCCTTGGAATGTTTCAACACGGCCCGGGATGTGTCCCAAGACGTGTGGGAGAGGTCAACTATCATTCCCAGTCTGTTCATCTCCTCCACCACAGCCTGGAAAACATATTCAATAACGATTTAAGCAGCCATTTAAAGTATCACTGGAAGGAAGGAAGTCAATTCTGAGAACAGGAAATGGTTAGACATAGATAAACACATGGCTGCAGATAGCAATCAAGGAAGTCCTACATGCTGCTGCCTAGAGAAAATCATTATAAAATATTTTGTCATTTGAAAATGAGTTGTTTACATTGTACAACAGTTTGCTGTAATAAATAAGTACATGTTAAAGGACATGAAAGATTAATTTGGGTTACAACACTATCCATGTCAACAGGCTCTTGTCAAGAGAAAATTTTATATGCCTAGTATTAGCCAACTTTCTTTAGCATGATCCATTACTGGAGTGTCTCAGGCTTAAAAATTACTATCATATCCTCAGAATTTAGACTTGTTTTTAAAAATACTGTTACTATATCCACTTCAGTAACCAAACCAACTTATTATAAATAATAAAAGTAATAGTAATACACAATATAGTTTTATCATGTTTGTTAGCCAATATATAATACACAGATAATTAACTCTTCAATTTGAAACTGTCATATTTGTTAAATGGTGGGTTTCTCATTTCAAATTAAAATCTTCATCTTAAATATACATCAAGTGTGCTGCTTTAGTACCTTTCCAGAAAAATAAAGCCAACCAAAATCAGCAAACATGCTGACATACTGCTTAGTGGAATGTGAAAAATGGAACTATTCTGTACAGTAGTATATATTACTGAAGATTAAGCTTACCTTTCCAAAGTGTGTTAGGCTGTTGTTCTGTCTTTGATAGACATTATAAAGTTTTGATGATGATTCAGCCCTGCATTGAAAAAGAACTTTGTCAAAACTACAAATGATGAAAAGTGTTATAAGTCTTATTAAATATAAAATACATCCAAATACTGCTTCCTTAACAGCATCAGAATGGGGCCACTGTACATTTCATCCGGCTGGGGCGCATTCAGAAACATCAGTGTCAAGTTTCAAAGTAAGGTTAATTTGCACAGAGTGGGAAAATGTAAATACTTTTGACCTTTCCATTCAGACAATCCCGTAAATAAACACACAAAAATTTAGACACAGGTTAGGTTAGGTTAAACTTTACACAGGTCTGAAGAATAAATTAGTTTAATAGTCATTTCAAATCTAAATATTTGTATTGAACTTTGGGTCCTGATTTAATGTTGCAATGACAGTATGTTGTTGCCATTGTTGATGCACACCTATCTGTGAGTGTGTATGTGCAGATAAATCTTAACAGCAAAAAAGTACATATTTGCAATATTTAAACCATATGTACCATTCTTAGTAAAATAATGCACTCAGAATAAATCTCTTAATTACCAGGGTGTATTGCAGGTATGTGTTAGGGCCATGGAGCGGACCCCAAGCTGGTAAAACATTCGCAATGCTGGCAGGCTGCTGTCAATAGAGTGACCCCCCTCAATACTTATTAGGCAGGCTATCTTATGCCTCATCTCTGAATTCTGCAGTTCTGCAATGGCAGACACACATATACAGTATGACACAAACAAATCTCCTGCAAATCTACCACAAATCACAGTTTGTTTATAATCACTTGTTAATGAAGTAATTCATATGAAGTAATTAGCTTCTCATTATGATGCAAAGATTATTATAATTGTCAAGGCTCTTTTCCCAAACTGTAAATAACACATACCTAAGAGTATTATGAATGCACTGAATCATAATTGTAGACAATCAAGTAACTTAAAAAAATAATCAATCCCTCTTTCATCTCCATAGTGGTTTTGTCGGTAAACCAGGTAAATCCCATCTGCATTTGTACTGTACCCTGGGCAGATGTGACTAGCTCAAATTCCTGGTACTCAGTGCACATGCGTCTGACCACATCTATTTGTTCCAGAGTCAGTCTCACAGCATCCTTATCCTGGGCCCCACACATCACATAGACAGCAAACATCTGACAAAGAGACGTCAATATGACACAAGAGAAGGAGGGTGGGGGAGTGGGCAAAATAGGAAGTACCTGTCATTATAGGTTTGATCTGTCCACAACATAAAAATAGTAGATGCTGTCATCCAAAGGCCCTTCAGGTTCAAACATTCAGTGTTAAAAAGTCAAAATAAAATCAATGTGTTATTTTACTAGGCTACTCTCTGGAACAATCCTAACTTCAGAACAGACGAGTGAAAGATTGACTAAATTACAATACCTGTGCCTGAACATAGCCTGCTTTGAGACGTGTGATGTCAGTGGCCACTTTGCTGACATTGTGAAGGTCAATTTGGCTCAGCCGATTGTTGTGAAGTATCCTCAGCTGGAGTGCTAGGTCGTTATGACTGATGGGGAGAGGGGGGTGTGAGGTAATTTGATTTCATTAATTCATTTCCATGAATGTAGCTCATGTGTAGGCAAGACATTAAACATCATTTACCCATCAATAAGAGGATATCTGGACATCAATTCATGTACTCTGTCTCTTGTAGAGTATCCAGATATTAAACTACACAGAGAGAAAAGTACTACCAGATGCCTAAGAAACTGCATCCAGAAGCTGCCTGAACCATATGTTACAGTTTTCCCAGAAGGCATATTCTGAAGAGAAAAAAAACATCAGCAGTCACATTAACATTGCATTACTACAGTTGATTACAAAATAATCGCAGCTGCATTATCAAACCATACACACACACACACACACATATACCATAAGTCATATAGATAAAATTGAACATTTTGTATTTATAATTAATTCTTGAAGGAAACAAATATCACAGCACAGATAAGTCCTTTTGCTCCCTTTGGGAGCGTATGTCATCCCCTCTCTCACTCCCTCCTATCCTGCATCTGTCCTATCCAAATAAAGGCTAAACGCCCCCCAAAAATAAATTAAGAATAGTACAGTGACCGCTAGAAATAAAATATGAAAGCATTAAATAAAACGTAGGCCTCTAGCTCCATATCTTATGCACATTAGAAGTCCGATTTAGATTAAGCTGCATTACACTACTGATGCGATTAAAATACCCTAAAGGTGTGGTTGGTGTGTGTCGTATTCTCACGATTTATTAGGAAAGAAACAGCCCACATAGAAAAATAATATTTAACTAACTGTTACGTGTTTACTCATTGGATGAAAATATGAAAATGCTCACTGGACAGCAACAGTTTTTATCTATATATAACGGAAAACAATTTGGTTTAAACAATAGACTTACCTGCCTGGCCGTTAAAAGCAACTTGCCTACCTTGTTGAACGACGGCATAGAAACTGTCCGAACTTTCCAGCTTTCCGCCCCGACAAAAGTAGAACAAACATATGCAAAACTAAATGCGGTGCCGAGTGCTGCATTCTAGTCCTGTCGGAAACATTAACAATACAGCTACATATATGGGTTCAGAATCCCGCCGTGTTCTTAAGATGACTTAATGCTGCTTTAGAACGGCCGTGGCAATTATCTTGCAGGTCATAGCTCTAGATTATTTAATCTTCTATGCCATGCTTCTCTATTTCTACTGTCCTTTCATCACTTTCACAGCCCGCGAAATGTTTTAGTGTTGCAGGGTAACTAACGCCAGTTATAGGCCGGTTAAATAAATGGATTAAGTGTGTCATACAATCACACTAGGGAAAACAATAACCTTTAGGTTTCCTACTTAACCTGCGCAGTTTTATTTGTCTAACTCACTCGGTGTTGTTGGAATTTGGGGAGCATTGAAAGCACCGTTGAGACCTATGGATTTGATGATGACATCTGCTGGTCACATAATATAATCACTACCTGCATACTTGTTTTCCCTGCCATCAGATTTTTTAAGGTTGACTACTGACATTGATGATTACATTCGAGTCACTGAGCTACCATATTTATGTTTTGTATTATTATTTATTCATAAAAAAAACAGAGGTCCTTTGATAACACTTTCGGCCTTCAAAAATACTGTCCAGAATTCCACACATATGTAGGGGAGAGTGGGGGCAATAGTAACAAGGGGTAACATATTCAGAAATGAGACAGAACCTGATGAATAATGGCAGGCTGTGCGGTTTATTGGAGAGACAGCCTTGTTAGAGAGTGAAAGTCCTGTATTTTATTTATGTGTTAACAATATTTAACAGGTAGGCATATAGCTTGTTAGCTCGTTACGCTAATTAGCTAGATCCAAGCAGCTCCACCGACTGACGATGCTAAGTTAACGGGAGTTAGTCTGTTCTAACCGCAGCTTTTAAGGAGTCAAAGACAAGTCAGCAAGAAGAAAGAAGCCAAAATGTATTAGATTAACCGTAGTGTTAAACATTAGGGTGATAATGCTTTCAAGAAAAGGCGTTTGTGTGAGGTTGTAAGCAAAGTAAAGGCTCAGCCAAACGTCTCTGGCTCAGCTCTGTTATGTTAACGGTAAACTTTACAAAAGGGCAATGTTACATTTGGCTTCGTACTGTAACGGAGTCACTGTTCAGTTAGATACTAGTCAGAAGTGGCTGCATCTGAGCCGGAGGGACACGAAGTGTAGGCAGAGATCCAAGGGGGTAGCGGCAGAGCCGTGTACATCCGAGTGTACTGTTTAAAAACAATATACTATTCTTTGAGGGGATGGTTGATTCGAAGTACATATAGAAGGACGTTTTGAGTCATCAATAAGTTATTACACTTAGTGGATGTAGCATTCCTTGTGATTTAGCAAATAATCTGAGGTGATAACTGCGTTTGATCAGCGACATTTCTGATGAAGGAGTTTAAGAGGTGGCTGCATTATTCAGATGAACAGATGTAGGCTAGATTTACATCCACCTTTTTTGTCAGCATATAATGAGCGTTATGCCTGCAGACAGGTAGCTGTACTGTAACTAGGGTGACGGTTTAGTTAAGGCTAGAAATATGGTGTGTGAGAGCCGCCTCTGAGTTTGTTTGGTGGAGTTGATTTTGCCTAAAAAGGTAGTAAAGTTCAATAAGAAATATAAAATAAGATTCTTATAATAAACGTTCAATAAGTTCTAACTTGAGTAGTCAACAGGTTTCTAGCAGCATGGATTATTATTTCACAGTGTCCAGCAGCAAACCGTATATTGCACATATTAGTAAACAGTGTATTTCACATTGCCAGCCCTAATTACTGTTACATGCCAGAGAGGTTTTCATGCTGAGGTGATCTCAGAGTTCAGTAGCTTTATGGCACTTTGGAAGAAGCTGCTTAACTGTCCACCCATTGTTGTCTTTACAGGTCCCAGAGGAGCTGATTGCAGAATAAGAACCCTCTAGATGTGATTTGCTGTATCCAGCTCTACAGGAGATATGAAGCCCAAGCTTCCAGCTCTTCAGCTCCTGCTTTGTGCAGCCTTTTCTTTTTACAACTTTAACACCTGAACATCATTATAATAATTCTTACAACATATTATTTCAAGTCAGACAAAACTACTGTTACATTTGTAACCTTTCAATATGAATCTTTTCATGAATGCAACACAAGAATTTAATTTGTTAAACTATTGCTTCTCTATTAGGAATACTTTGTTATAAAATTGATCAGACTAATTATACATATAATAAAATCACATTCTTCATTCATCATCAGTTTCCTACGCTAATTGTACATAGTGTGATCTAAAATCAACAATATATTATAGTTGCTGTTACAGCTGTAAATGAAAATATTAATATGGTACTTAGGTAGGTTAATATATATATAGCATATATGTTAGTAGAAAGTAAAAAATGAAAGGTTGATGTTATATACTGTTTTATTTTGACATTTCTTTAAGATACAAATGTGACATTGACTGAGAAGTTACTCTGTTGTAAAAAATTATCTGCACACTGAATAGTTTTGAAGCCCTGTAGGAGGTGTCATTTATTGCGACCTCTGAGAAGGTCTTGTGTGGCTTTCATTGTATAGAATGCAAAAGTACATTGAATCAGCTCCGAGACCTCAGAGTTTGCAAGGTTACAATAAATACCACCTAGTGGGATTCATAATTACTGTGTGCAGATCATTCTTTGTTTCAGCACTTACCCACAGGATGGTTTGGATGTGCCCACATTATTCTGTGGTTAAACTAGACTTATATCAGAGCAGCAAACAAGGCATTCTTAAGAAACCTCAGGCTCTGTTATACAGTCTGTGGTTACTGGGTATATGGCTCCTTATTTATCTTAAAGTATAAGGTAGAAAGTAAAAATACTCTTGCATACACAGAAATACACTGCATAATTACTTTTAAACATTTCATGTGAAACATGTTGGGAGTATTTTATATACTGATGTCAAGAGTTCAGCTTTAATGTTTCATGTTTTATCTGTGGTATACGATTAGCTTTTCAGTAAGTAGTAAAGACAGGGAGTGCTAATATATATAGAATTTATTACAATGTGAACCATAAACCATATCTTTTTTTAAATGGACCTATAACACAAATATGGACAATATTAAAAACTCAAAGTAAACAGAAGGAGAGAACGCCTTTCCACGTCTGTCCACCCCAACAGCACAGTGAGGATGCTTCCCAGGTCTCTGCATCTCTGTGGCACCAGGTGGGACATCTGATCTACAGTTGGACTTTGGGAGGAAAATGTATAATAAATTCTTCAGGTGATGAAAAATAAAAAGTTAGTGATACAGATTGAGTCTTTAAAAATAGAATATTGTGGAGAAGTTGATTTTCTAACGTAATTTAATTCTAAAAGTGAATCTTTGATATATTTACACAAATGTAAGCATTTCAAACCCTTTTTGTTTTCATCTTGATGATTACGGTTTGCAGCTCATGGAAATAACAACTCCAGTATCTCAAAATGTATGAACATTTTAGAATAGCCTAAATACATTTCTATCTTGTGACCAATATAAAAAAGTACCTCTCTATCTCAAGTGTCCTATTCTAGACAATAATCTCACACATTGCCAACAGCAGCAACGTTACTCAAAATAGCGTTGTGGGGAATTAATAAACGTGATAGCAGCCATAGCTAACGTTTTACAAGTTATATAGCTCTCTAACATAAGTGTTGCAAAATAACGTTAGCAGATTTATATTATGTATTCAGTAGTGCACATGCGTTGGTGTCTGTAGCTACCTGTCGGAAGCTCTGTCTTAAACCTGACTTTTATCCAGTTTTAATCCACGTAACGTTTTACGTTATATTTTTTATATCCTTTTATTTAACTTAAGTTTTTAACTTACATTTTATGTGGGTTAAGGATTTTAGTCATCCGACATGGATTTTAAGCTAGATGACCGTAAAAAACACAACTCAACACTACTGATCACAACAAAGCTCTGGCGACTAACGTTATGCTAGCCGAGATAACTCTGCCCCATGAGGACTGCACACTCCTTAAGAAAGCGAAAAATAAGATTGCTGACCTTATGGAAGACATCCGACAACTTTCAGAGGAACCCAAAGAGAAAGATTCCCTGCTGCCTGGCTTTATGGATGTGGCTTCAGTACAAGCCAAACAGATTGTTTCTCTTAGCGCAACCGCTAACATCCAGGACACCGTGCTGTGGGACCCCTCTACCCTTCCAAGGCATTCCTCCTGCTCGACTCCGAAGCAACAGTCAACCTGGGCTGAAGTGGTGGTCCGTGGGTGCAAGAGAGGCTCGGATGGGGCTGCCTCTCCTCCGCACATCGGCCTCTCCAACCGCTATGCAGCCCTGTCTGACATCCAGCGGATGCACCTGCGGCTTCGAGTCTCCCTGACACGGATCCCTTTCGGCGGCTAGTGCCTGCCGACACTGTTGCATCTCCTCCACCGGCTACATTTCCTGCACTGGTGGCAAACGGTAATCAGCTGGGCTGCTGGGCTGCCGCTGGGCCTGATTGGCGGCCGTCATCCCGGTCAAAAACCTCCGCTTCCCGACGTAGGATCCTGAAGGACGCTGTGCTCAGACGCTCCGGAGGCCGTCTCTACCCTACACCGTCGGGTAGCCCTTCTCTCAGGTCTGTTACTGCTACTCCAACACAACACTCGGCAGCTCACACACTCCATCCTCAGTCCGCACACAGTGTTGAAGCAGATTCTGCTCAGTCCTGCTCTGGAACCCCACAACCGGCATCTCCTCGTCCCCTTTTCTCCCCAACCACACTAATAATTGGTGACTCCATAACCAGAAACATCCGTTTCTTTAACGCTACCACTCAATGCTTCCCGGTGCCACCACGGCTGACATTTTAAAAAAAACAGGACCTAAAAAACAGGACCTAATGCCATCGCTCCCGTCCTCCATCACAAGAGTGATAGTCCATGTGGGAACAAATTACACAGCTCTTCAGCAGTCTGAGCTGACAAAATCAGATTTTAACAGTCTTTTTAACTTTTTAAAGCAGTGTGGAAATTCCGTTTTTATCTCTGGTCCCATTCCCACAGTTGGTCGCGGTGCTGGCCGCTTCAGTAGACTCCTTGGCCTCCACGAATGGATCTAGTCCGCCTGCAGGGC